TTCCTAAAAAAGAACCTTTTTCCAGGCAGGACCAGATAAGGGGGGGGGGGGAGAGGGAAAAACTGAACGTATGTCTCCAAAATACAAAATCCTTTAAGTGTCAGAATATTAAGAATGCCATTGTGCGCCAAACCGAGCGACTTGCACTTCAGCACGGTACAGATTTGCTGCCCAGCACTGCATTCTGGGACATTCTGCTTTGGCCTGTTGCAACATTGGAGGGGAGGTGATGCTCACGTGCCCGTTAGGTGCTGCCAGGTCTTTCCCATTTCAAGCTCCTCTTGAGGTTTCCATGGCAGTGTGATGCAGAGGCCTAGTGAAGTCATACTACCATAGAAACTGCCCAATAAAGCCCAAACAAAGAGGCCTTACCCAGGGCCGGTCCAAGGGGTAGGCAGACGAGGTGGATGCATCGGGCAGCAGGAGGGGGGGGAGGCACAAAAAAGGACAAGACCTGCAACCTATGCTGGCAAACAAAGAGGCTTTACCCAGGGCCGGTCCAAGGGGTAGGCAGGAGAGGTGGATGCATCGGGCAGCAGGAGGAGGGGGAGGCACAATAGTACAACCAGGACCTCCAATGCAGTAGCAACAGCATAGCTCAGTCAAGGGCATGCCCCCAGTCTGCTGATTGGACTATACAGGAGCAGCAGCACACAGATGAGGCATTCCTCTACTCTGTCCTTCTGTTTCTATGTTCTATGTCAGCACATGTGTACTGCAGTAGGACCCGATTGGCTCTTAGTGCCGTGGAGCTCCGCCTTATGTATTTGTCAGGTGTTGTTACTCTCGCAGTGAGCTATTCATGCAGGGAAACCAATGACCAGGGCCGCTTTACGTGTGCGCAGCTTTGCACGATTCTTACTTGGCAAAGTACATCTGTCTCCTCTGACGAAGCTCCTCCTGCGTCAGCGATTCCTGTGTGCAGGTCTCTGACGTCTGCGGCTGGCTAGAGGAAGCCGATTCTGTCGCGTCCAGGCAAAGTCCTCCTGGAATGATATTACAGGAGAAGTCTTGTGGGCTGACCCGCATCACACACAAAATATACCATTTGTTTTTTTCAGTAACAATATAAATAATAGCAAAGATCCAAAAGGAAAACACAATTGTACTCTGAAGAAAATTCAAATGCCGATAACTTTATTTATCTGGACAACATGAACTGAGAACTTCCGCCACTGAAGGCGACTAAGCATACCATTAAAAAGAGAACTATGGCGAAACCTTTATTGCCTGTAGTTCTCTTTAGGGTCACAGGAGGACATTTATTAAAGTCCTCCTGTGACCTAAAACTCAATATATAGTGGGATATTGCCTGCTATATGCTGACAGCGCAAAGCCGCGAAGGATCCTGACAGTATTGTCAGGATCCACCTCGCTACCTGATTGACATCTGGCTCTGCCTATCTAGAAACAGAGCCAGTAGTGCCCGCCCCTTCCCCTGTCTGTCCCTCCTGTCAGTGCTGGAGGAACTGAGAGGATAGGGGGGGGGGGGGAGGATCCCTGTGGGGAGCGGTGACTGACAGTCACTACTCTCTGCAGGGAGAAGATCATGAACTGAGTGATCAGTAGTATGTGATCTCTCAATTCCCGATCAATAGAACCGACGTGTGACAGCTGCAGTGTCTCACGTTGGCTCTAACTATTGGGAAGAGTCTTTCACTCATCACATAGTTCTCCTTCAAGCCCAACCTTGGGGTGAAACACGTCTAGGGAAGGAGGCCCCAGGCGGGGACTCTCTGTTCATGTTGTCGGATGAATAAAGTTATCAGATTTTGGATTTTCTTTAGAGAGCAGTCGGTCTTTTCCTTTGGATCTGTGCACTCTGTGGGGCATAGGATGAGCCCCTCCTGGCCTTTAGCTCCCGATCTTCCATGATGGAGACCTGAATCAGGGCTTGGGGGTCATGTATTCTATACTTTATGCCAAAGTACATCAATAAGACTAGAAAAAAATGTCTACAATGGGGCCACAACAAAGGGCCAATGTCTTGCAGCTGGGATCCCCCTAGTATTTGTTTATTCTGCATTATGGAGAATCCATGGGTGGGAGAGTGACGCCATCAGTTGGCCTTGTAATGGCTGTAATGTTTGAGCAGACCTGAGAAATCAGGAGGGGGGATCTCGCCAGTGGGGTTCCAGCTAAGAATACACAGGGGGAGTGCCAGACCAGAGAGGGTGTGCCTGACCAGTTCTATTACATTACTGAGTCCCCTTGTTCCGACTTTGCTCCCATTTAGACTGCACAGTCATATTTGGGCCCCCTTTACATTTGCAGTAACAATAAACTGGAGCTAAGACTGAGAAAATGGGGTTCATCAGCAAAATGTAAACCTGGATATCGATTTCTGTGAGGTCTAAACTAAATTAATAAATCATAATTATTTCGATGTCCCTGGCTTTTAGATCCGCCTGTGGAAAAGTCCTAGTCCACCCCACTAGTTGATTAGCAATGTCAATAGAAATATATTTTCTAAAACACACCCAACTTCCTGTCCACCAACCACACTATATGACATTATATGCAGCGTGTCCTCAGTCTGAATGGTTGACAATAGGGACGCACCAATACACAACAAGGGAGCATGGAGGCAGCTTCCCGGCCAATCAGAAGCCGGGCAGCGTGTCATGATTTGGTCAGGAAGCTGGCAAATCAGGAAGCAGGAAGGCGAGTCATTACTCGCCCCCCGGCTTTCTGATTGGCCAGGAGCCGGCTTCATGCTCTCTCGTCACCTGGGAGCATGGAGCAGGCTTCCCGGCCAATCAGAAAGCTGGGCACCGTGTAATGACGCGCTGCCAGGCTTCCTGATTGGCCAGCTTCTCATCCAATCAGGAAGCTGGGCAACAAGTCATTACACGGCGCCCGCCTTTCCTGATTGGCCAGAAAGCTGGCTCCATGCTTCCTCGTCACCTGGTGCAAGGGAGCATGGAGGCGGCTTCCCTGATAATCGGGAAGCAGGGTGGCGAGTCTTTACACGCTGCCCGGCTTCCCGGCTAATCAGATGGCGAGTAATTACACGCAGCCTGGCTTCCTTAATAGGACTTCCAGTAACGGTATTGGAGAGTACCAAATAAATAAATATCAGTACTCGTAACCGAAAAAACAGTATCGGTGCATCCCTAGTTGACAACAAGAATAGTTTGCACTAAGCTGGACATTTCCAGTAATTTATAACCAGGAGTGGGACTTCGTATGGAGTTCGGAATGTGCTCATTAGCTTGTGTTGTTGGTTTGGATCACGCGATGCACAGGGCAGGACATTGCTTTCTACAATAACATGAGCTCACATACTGGAACTGTAAGTAACCTGCTGCAGTGGTCTCTGTGAATCGGCTGTACCTTGCATACTGAGCTGAATGGCCCTGCGGAGATCCGCTTCTTCATCTTCCATGTCTATCTGCTGTCTGCTTAAGGCAAGGGCCTTCTGTAGGTTGTCTTCATCCTCGTCCATCATGGCGGAACCATCTAACACCCTGGTCCCTTCGTCCTCCTCAGTGGCCTGAACTCTGCGTGACAGATTAAGACTTCATATTAAAGTACACCTAAGGCCTCTATGTGTCCGTTACATATTACATATGTGCAACAGCTCAGAATTCTGCAGATGTCATCAATAGGACGATGCATATGTTGCTCATCTTCATACTTTTTGCAAAAAAAAAGAACCCATCAGCACTTCTACCACATGAGTCTGAAGACTGATAAGGGAAGGGGTTATCCAGAGCTTCCCTGTGCTAACTGGAAGTGAATTTTCCAAATGACATCTCCCAGCATTCCTAGCGTCATCTCCCTACAGCGCGGCGTATTTCTGGAAGAGTTCCTGGCAGATCTGTGGACTTGTTGTATGCTCCGGGGAATGGTGGAAGCTCCAGGAAAAGCGTGCAGTGCTGGGTGGGATCTGCCTGTTCTAAGCAGATAAATATCTGCTGGGCGGTACTGAAGAAGAGCAGGATGATGGAAAAACAAAAGCGGGCTTCATACGGAATTATGAAAGGAGATTCGGTTTTGTTTAGCCCAGCCTTTCCCAACCTGCACCTGGGGTGCCTTCTGGCTTTTTCAGGGGTGCCCTGAAAGTTTGTGATGGTAGGAGGGGGGACTGAAGACTTTGATGGGAAGAGGGCTCCTGATGTAAAAAGGGAGAGGGAACTCTGATATGAAAGGGGGCTTGTGATGATGTGAATGGGGCTCCTGATGTGAAGGGGGCTACTGATGTGAAGTGTGAAGGGGGCTACTGATGTGAAGGGGGGTACCTGCTGTGAAGGGGGCTACTGCTGTGAAGGGGGCTACTGCTGTGAAGGGGGCTACTGCTGTGAAGGGGGCTACTTCAATGTGAAATCGGGCAACCCCGCTTTTTTGTATGGGGTTCCACTATTAAAAACCATTACATTTTAGACTAGGGCGACTCGAGATTTTGCATACTTTTTAAAGGGTGTCATGTCTGAAAAAAGTTAAGAGACACTGCTCTAGCATAGGGCTTATTCCGAAGTCCTGACCTTAGTTAAAAAGTGAAACCAGCATCAGGGGATTCACAGAAGGTTCTTTCCTGGTTGAAACATTCCGCTCCTGCCAGCCTTAGCCCACCTACACTGACTCAGTGCTTGCTTTAGAAGAGCTGTGGAGAATTAAGGAGCAGAGGGGGCTTCCTCCATGCGCCTATCATCCTGCCTGTCACCATCGCTGCTGGTCAGGTCAGGATTTACTTATGTTGGACATTCAGGAAAAATGCTGGTAGGAATACTGCCGTTACATCTACCTTTGGTTTCGGACAGCCAGGTCCTCTCCAATGAGCCGTGGCCGCTGCGTCTGCTGAACTTGAACCATCTGCAGTAGCTGGTCAGCCTCACAGTCTGGTAGGTCTCCCTTTACTACAAAAATGGAATAGCCTGGGGAAAAAGGGTTACAGTGTTTTGGTAAATGGCGCCGTCAAGCATTGTACTGCTGGACTGTTGCTGATAGATAAAGCTATTTAAAGATAGTCAATGTCTTATTCAATCTTGTGGCTGTAAATAAAAAATAAATAAAAAAGGATTCCATTTTTTTTCTATTTGGAACATTGGAAACAGATAAGCAATGCTCTTGAAGCTGAACTCCAGCTATGAAGTGTTATGCATACTTACAATGGTGCAGCTTGGCCTTATGTAAGTTTACATATGACATACCTGATCCGCGCACGGGGATCCTGTAAAGCACTGTGGTAGCCAGAGGTACTACAGTGCTGACAGCAACCTTCCGGGTCCTGTATGGCACTGTGCTGAGTGGCCCTGCTCTGAAAACACAGGGGAACACTCGCCCAACACAGCAGCCACTCAGAAACACCTAGGATTTTATTAGGGATGCACCGATAATAAGATCGGTATCATTGTCGATACCGATTATTTGGGCGAGTACTCGCCCAAATGCTCCGATACCGGAACTTCCGGTCAGAGGAAGATTTCCTCTGGCCGACAGTGCCGTAGGGGAGCATGGAGCCAGCTTCCCAGGCAATCGGTAAGCTGGGTGGCGAGTAATGACCCTCCTCCCGGCTTCCTGATTGGCCGGGAAGCTGGCTCCATGGTGATCGGCTAGAATGCCGGCTTCTTGGCCAATCAGCATCAAGCCAGCCGAACAGCCGGCACCTTGTTGATTGGCTGGGAAGCCGGCTTCCTGGCCAATCAACATCGAGCCGACCAAACAGCCGGCTCCTTGCCGATTGGCTAGGAAGCCGTCTTTCCGGCCAATTAGAATGGAGCCGGCTTCGCGGCCAATCAGGAAGAAGGGTCTATCCTCACCGCCCAGCTTCCCTACGGGCCGGGGAGCCGGCTCGAAGTCGATTGGCTGGGAACCCGGTTTCCTGGCTAATCTCAATCAAGCCGGCCAAACATTGAGCCAGCTTTCTGGGCAATTAGGAAGCCGGGCGGAATCCCTTCTATTCATTGATAAAAGTACTAGGCGTTGTCTAAACAGCCTCTGTGCCGAGCGAGTGACCCCCCCTGTGTTTTCAGAGCAGACGGAAGGGAATCTGCTCAGCACAGTGCCATACAGGATCAGGAAGATCGCTGTCAGCAGTGCAGTAGCTCTTGCTGTCACAGTGCTGTACAGGATCCCTGTTGACCAGTCTGGTATGACACATGCATTCTTGTTACATTCTGCCAATCTGGAACCAACGTGCACATGGATTATACTCTATACCTGGAGTTCATCTTTTTAAAAAAAAATTATTTATTATACACCAGTATTAACATACATTCCACTGAAAAAAGGAAATAAGGCATCCGCCTTACTCATACCATCAGAATACATTGGGACAGCACATGCATGTCCTCACTCAGGATGAAATACATTAATTGGACAAAAGTAATGCAGTACACTCAACAGAAGCAGGTATCATAGCATGGAACCCAATACAGGTGTCGTACATTAATTGCATCGTACACGAGCATGACCTCCAAAGTATCCACCACTTAGTGATAGTCTAGTCCCTGAAAGATATAAACAACATTGTACAGCTTTGTGGTGTAGGAGTGCGTCTTCGGGCCCTTTATCACAATATGGATGGAGACATCCATGCAAAATCCGTCATGAGCACACACCTCGGTGGCCTTGGATAAAGGGAGGTGTTTGGAGTTCATCTTTAAGTCACGTTGGCTTGTCCGCGGAGGTGAGCGTTCATATCTACTTTGCACTGCTGCAGAATATCTTACTTACTTTAATGGGAGGCCATAGCTCTTCTTTATTAACTGCGAGAGACTTACCTTCCTGCTGGAGCTGGGCCAAGAATAGTGCAAGGTAAGTGTCTGATATGAGCTCCGGACCCGTCAACAGGGAGTTCAAGTTAAACCACTACGGAGAAGGAAAAAAGTAAACAAATTGGGTAATAACATAAGCAGCAGAAATAATGACGCCACTTTTTTGTGTGTTTAGTCCACCAAATAATAACTGTATGAATGTGTTTTATGTTCCTGCCAAAGTGCAGGTTTCCAAAAAGGCCAAAAATGTATTTTTAAAAAACCCAAATAAATATTTTAAAAAAAGTCCCCCCAGCCAAAACAATAAAAGTTTGTATAGGTCAAAAATAAAAAAATAAAGGAATCAACGCCATTTTTAATCACGGTTGACACAGCTATCCACGCTTGTCCATAGCTGGCCACACACCCTGTTAGCTTTGCAGCAGGTAACGGTACAACGCAACACACATCAGAACGGGGAGAAGGCGGAGCCTGCAGAAAACACTGTGGAGGGAAGCGAGCTACGCAGACGACACCAGTGAGCTGCTCTAGCTTCAGATCACATTGCAGCGTGTTTATTCTGAGTTCATCTCCTCGGCAGTGCATTTCACCAATGGCACAGTCTACTGCTGTGTTTAAAAAAGAAAAAGCAGGGCCTCTATGTTCTCCCTATTCACTCCTGACATTATAATGACACTCACTGTTAGATAAAATCGCAAGCTGAAATTTTGTACTCAGCCCGTCACAGCTCCTGTAAGAAAAAGTGCGGAAGGTATGTTGGAAGGCATGTTGCATAACGGAGCGCTGCACTGTCCAATCAGTGCCTTTTTATTAAAGCGGAACTCCAGGCACAGGGTTTTTTTTGTTTGTTTGTACATTTCCGGTGTGTATACAAATGTTACCTCTGCAGAGGCTGTATTTCATGGACGGATCACTGCTTTGTTCTTTATAAATCCCTACTTTCCTTCATGCCAGATATAGTAGCTCCCACTGCCCTTCCAGATGCGAGGGCTGCGGCTATCAATGTATTGTTTAAATTTATCACATTTACCCAATTTGTGTAATATCTGTGTTGGCGCTGCATAATTGAAAACCTACATGATCTGACCTATGTGGTCTATATTGCTGCAGCCTTCATACCCAATCACTTAATTTAGTTTAGAATAGAGCGCGTTCGTTTCACATATCCAGCACAGAATCAACAAACACATACACAGGTGAAACTCGAATAATTAGAATATCGTGCAAAAGTAATTGCAGTAAGTGCTGCAAAAGGGGCCCAAACCAAGTACTGAGTACATATGCATGCTTGTACTTTTCGGAGGTCCGATATTGTTCTATGTACAATCCTTGTTTTATTGATTGCATGTAATAATCGACTTTTCTGAGGTTGTGGATTTGGGGTTCTTGGGGTTTTCATGAGCTGTAAGCCATAATCATCACAATGATGACAAATCACGGCTTGAACTATCTTGCTTTGCATGTAATGAGTCTCTCTCATATATTAGTTTCACCTTTTAAGTTGCATTAGTGAAATAAATGAACTTTGCACGATATTCTAATTATTCGAGTTTCACCTGTACTGCTGCTATCATACATGGAAGAGCTAGTGTCTTATTCCCGCTCCCGCCCGCCTTGGCCACCGTGAATAGTACACAGAATACAGAGGGGAATTTATCACAGCACTTGCGACAGTTTTAGCCTTAGATCATTTTTTTTAATGTGCAAATCTGTCTTTCCACACGTGCCCCTGTTTTCACCTGAGCTTGCACTACTTTCCCAACTGCACGTGTTTTGCACCTATTTCTTCAGAGCGTACACTACTTTTTTAGATACACCTTTTTTTGCACGTGTTTTCATCTGCACTTGTCCTGGGGCTGTCTGAAACTGGAGCATCACCTAAGAAAACAATCACAACTTAGAGAACTATGAGGCGAGTGCTTTTCACTCCTCCTCATAGTTCTAGCCGACCTGTGACAATGAGACTGTCACAGGTCGGCTCAGTAGATCGGGAGGTGAGCGAACACATACTGGCGTTCGCTCACCTCTCGATCCTGTCACGGCTCTCTGGATTCCCCCCTCCCCACTCCGATCCGCCAGCGCGGACTGGCGGAACGTACGGGGGAGGGGGCAGGTACAGCTGGCTCTGACTCTAGATAGGCAGAGCCAGCTGTCAGTCACGCAGCTGGGCGGATCCCGGCATAATTGTCGGGATCCGCTTCAGCATCTCAGTATACCGCGGCGTCTCAGTATACCGCGAGCTACAGCTCACGGTATACTGAGCCTAGGGTGACAGGAGGACGCTAGTTTGTGTCCTCCCGTTACCCTAAGGAGAACTATGGGGAAAAGCCTTAACCCCATAGTTCTCCTTTAAGAAGTCCCCATGACCACTTCTTCAAGATGCGACAGTTAAGCTTTTTGGCTGAAGTTACAAGTCTTCTTTCCTGGAGTCTATTAAACCTCATTTATCAACAATATTACACTAGCTTGATAAATCTGGTGCAAATATATTCCATGCAAGTTCAAACACTCGCAATTGCTTTGATAAATCCCCCCCCCATGGTGTTCTTTGCAGCGTGAGAGCTCTCACATAGGCAGCAGGCCAGATGTACGACGACAGCGGTAATATTCGGCATAAAGAAGAGTGATTTTTAAAGGGACAGAGCAGCGTTCCAAGCCATGACATTCCACCTCAGTAAAAGGTCACATTTGGATACACACCGGAAATTAAAACAAGCCCTGTGCCTGGAGTTCTGCTTTAATTATATTAATATGCTGCCTTAAAGCCACTTTAAAGGAAGCCTGTGCTGAAAGGAATGTGGAGTCTGCCCCGGCTGACCTCTCTTTCTAAAAAAGAAAAAGGACATGTTTCCTTTAAAGCATATGCATTTTATTTGAAAGCAAAGGGCCCATTTTACATTTCGTTTTCAGTATCCAATGCAAAGCAATATGAATATTGTATTCCAAAAAATAAAATGCCACTTTGCAATAAAATGCAAGGGCCGCTTATTACATACCGTTCCCGTCGCCCCACAATCTGAAATCACTGCGTGACACCTGTAAATTCCCCCCCC